TCAGGCCCTGTTAGTCACAGGCCCAGTTAGTCAAAGGCCCAGCCCAGTTTGTCACAGGCCCAGTTTGTCACAGGCCCAGTTAGTCAAAGGACAAACTACAGTTCGTCACAGGCCCTGTTAGTCACAGGCCCAGTTAGTCAAAGGCCCAGCCCAGTTTGTCACAGGCCTTCTATAATTTTAATTTTATTTTTTGATTGTTTTTAACGAAAGAACATTCATTGTTGAAAGTTTACAGAGTAGTTTAAATTTGCTCTGATTTGCATACAAAATACTAAGCAATATTGAACAACACAAAACAAAATTGACATGTTAGAGGGACTTTAGGGCCTGTTACAAACTGGGCCTGTGACTAACTGGCGTGCCTCCCAATTGACAACGTTGCTGTTTGCTTCTTTGAAGCTCTGTGCAATAGTGTTGTCAGGTCCAATCCGCTATATCTGCACAATGAACTGGAACAAAGAAACGGAAATAATAATGATCAACACCGGGTACACACAGCTCAAGGGTTCGTCAGAGATCCCTGTAATATATTATGTTCACTTTTAAGGACAAGCGGGCTAACCCAGATTCCCGTGTTTCCGGAAATCTTGACCTGCACCAAAAGTGGGCATTGCCCTTCCTATAGGAGAAGTGTGGTTTCATTGGAGTGTATATTTGTTTGGCTGTTAAGAAAACTCTCCTTGTCTTTAAAAGAAATTGAACAAGGGGCAAAAACCTTACGTTCGATTTTCTCAAAACAATATTTTTCCAAATAGTCCCATTGTGCTTACAAGCGACCATATTATGGTGTGTTACATTCTTCAAGGACGGTTAGATTTTTTTTCATGGAAAGACAATTTAATCAATTAATCAATTAAATTAATCAATTTCTAAGTTTTAAAACAGTAATTAATTTGTCTTACGGTGTGTTGTCTCCATACGCACTGGGACCCAGTGAAGACAAGCATTGGTGTTGTTATTACTACAATAATACTGTTATTTTATTGATCAATTAATGCATTGGTTGTTGTTACATCACGATCATACTATAATCTTTTTTGTCCTGTTGTTGACACTAAAATGACCAATTCATTCTGTTGCAAGTGCCGTAAAACTCTTTACTAAAAACAAAACTAAGTTTAGTTAGTAATATTTCACAAGGCGTTCTAATTTCTACACAGTGGAGTCTTGTACCGACTCGCAGCAATATTGTAGCTACTGGGCAAAGATTGGAGAGTGTCAGAGGAATCCTAACTACATGAACCAGAACTGCAAGCTGAGTTGTGACGTTTGCGACCAAAGTGAGTGAAATTGTTGTTGTTGTTGTTGCTGTTGTTTTTGTTGTTGTTGTTTTGTGTGTGTGTGTGTGTGAGTGTGTTCGTGTGTGTGTGTG